GTCTCCCTTCTGTCTCCCTTTGTCTCCGGTCTTGTCTCCCTTCTTGTGGGTCACTGTGTCCGTCTTGTCTCCCTTGTCTCCCTTCTTGTTGGTCATCGTGTCCGTCTTGTCTCCTTTCTGTTTCCTTTTGTCTCCCTTCTTGTCTCCCTTGCGTTTGGTTATTGTGTCCGTCTTGTCTCCCTTCTGTTTCCTCTTGTCTCCCTTCTTGCTGGTCATTGTGTCCGCCTCGTCTTCCTTCTTGTCTCCCATGTCTCGAAATCTGGACTCGGGAATGCTTCTTTGTTGTCCCACCTGTTTGGGGTCTACGGTGGTGTAGTTTCTTTCTTCTTTAGACCTTTCTGTCCCTTCTTTTTCAAAGACCTTTCTTCTTTAGAAGTGGTTTTCCACCTCGTGACGCGTGTGAGGTGAAGGTCCTTGCGAAGCCAGCATTCGGCGTGGTCCAAGTAGCTTCAGCATCTCCAGCCTCAATGACACCGAGAAGTCTGAGAAGGACCGATGGGCCATACAGTCGCTTGGGCCATAAGGACTGATGGAAACCAAACCCACCCCATACAGTCGCTTAGAACACGGTATATCCATTCGGGACCTCGCATTTTGCGGCGGGTCTCTGTGTTGAACTGTTTTTTTTCTTTTTTCCCCATGGGTCTTCAACCTCACTCGATGACCGGCCGGTGGGCAGAGGTGTCAGTCCGATTCTGTGTGGCTCAGCTTGGCTTTCTGGGCAAAAAGGGACACCCCGGCTGTTTTGCTGACAAGGCAGAAGCTGATCTTGCGCAAACTGGATGTTCAAGATCAGAAGCTGGCACAGATTCTGGACATGATGAAGAGGATGGCACCGAAGCTCAGCTTGACTCCTTTGAACAGACATGTCTAGACTAGACTATTTCCTTGTTTTCAATCTCTAAAACTCTAAAACAACAAAGCACTGCGAACCGTTTGGTTGGGTGGCACAAGGGTTTAATGTTTCCTTTCGCATCTCACAGCACCGGAAGCAACCTGCTGGATTCCACTAATCCGGTGTCCAAAGATCTGTGTGTGGAGATCCGTCGTCCAGCCAGACCCAGACAGAATGGTCCTGGTAGGCAACTACATCAATCGTGCTAGGTGACAACATCAATTCTGGTAGGTAGCAACAGCCAAATTGGATCGTTTGGAGCCCATCAGATCTGCTCATGGCAGGGTCAGAACCCCACACCCATGCTGAAACACTGAACACATTACACCATCGTGGTGTGTTTGGGCCAAGCACAGTGCCATATGGGGCCACGCCCCAGGCCAGAGCTCAAGCCCTTGAAGTCTCCAGACCGGTCCGTGCCGGCCTCACCTCCTCAAGTGCGGCCACGCATCAGCAGTGGGGGGAACTCCCAGGGCTCCGCGATGACGCCCATTCGGCCCAGGAAGAGTTCGGGTGATGGTCGGTGGTCGGTGATGGTCGAAGACATGGAGAAATGAAACAGATATGGAATCTTGAACATGTGTATAAAGATGTATAATAGAAACAGTCAGAAGCCAATTAGGTAGGTTTGTCCTCATTCTACCAGCCCCTTTGGCAAGCCAAGGCCATCAATGGTATTTTGCTAAGGGGTGTTTTTGTTGACACATCATTATCATTATGTGTTTTACATTTAGGGAGGCAGGAGATGTTGGAGGTCTTATTGACGGAGAGAGTGGTCCATCCTCGCAGGACTCCGCGGCTCTTTACGACCAGCAAGCAAGAAGAAGATATGCACCGCTTCAAGGCTGCCAGCAAGGATGGCGCCAATGCACGGCGCAGGTGGGAGAGATGAGAGATGGAGAGAGAGGTTTAGGTTTTGTTTCGAACGTACTCGTGGTGAGTGTGGTACTCGTGGGGCATGGGGATTGAAGATCCAGACAAATGGGAGGTCAAGAGATGTCAAGAGCAGAAACGCCTTGATCTAGCAGAGTTTTGCTTTATAAACCAGAGCTTTCCATGAGGTGCCGCAAAACCCGATTTGCGAGATGAGAGCCTCTTTCTCAATGGGTCCAACCAACGGGCGGGTGTTCGGTGGACGCAGCGGACGCAGGACGAGAACGATCCGTCGTAGCCGGCACGAACCCGGAATTTCCTGAACACTCATGGGTCACCAGGAAAACCATGGAAAACCCTGTAGGCAAACTGCTACACCTTAGCTAGTGCTAGGCTAGTGCTAGGCTATTCTTCAATAAGGAGTCTCGCTGTGCCGTCCAACAGGACGGAATCCGAGCATTCTTCAATCAGGAGTAGTAGTCGGCAGGATTGTCCTGTTTCAGCCCCTGAAGGCAGAGGTCATCATGCTCCTTGTCCTGGAAACCCATGTCGATGAGATCAAATAGGATCAATCTAGGCTCATGCTTCTGATTTTCAAGTTGATTGGGATGCTGAACCAAGACATTTGTTGTTGCGCCGACACATCAAACAACTCGCAAAAGCCACCAACATCAGACATCAGTCAGCACCGCTTTAAACCTGTCCCCAGGAAACCGGAACCCTCTTCCCACGAAAAGCGTGCCGCTTTTCGCTCGCTTAGCTTCTTCGCTCGCCCTCCACCGGTGGAGGTTTGCAGATCTCCACATCGACGCCCAATCTGAATCACAGAAATCCTGGAGTCTCCGTGTCGTCACACACCCCGGCTTCGACATCTTCGCCTTAGCCGCTCGGTGTGAACGGCTCAGAACGGAGGCGCGAACAGTTCTCGGCCTTTGAGGCTTCTCGGACCGATGGAGTAGCTGCTACGGCGGGCCCACACGGTATCCCACGATGCCTTCTCCTTTTTTTTTTAGGGACGTGCTTTACAGAGGGAAACCATTGTGAGGAAAAACCTGCGAGTTGCTGGCCTTTTTCACCAACCTTTGAAACACAAGAATCACAAGCAGGTAACATTTGTAGCTGACTTTATCACGCCTGACCTGTGGATAGATCGGGGGGCAGGGGCACCTTGTCTTCAGACCCCCTGTCGTCCTCTCCAGTTGGTCCAGAAAAATCAGCGGCAGGAGGCATGGAGCATCATGAAGCCATTCTACAAATGTTCTTTTCGAGCTCGATGCATGCATGTGTCAGCATGTGTCAGACACCGGTCAGACCTAGACCCAACCTCCACCTCCCAACCTCGCCGACCCGGCCGACCTACCTGGCCGACGTTCACGTCGTGTCCATCCAGGTGGTCTTAACGAACTCTGCCTACATCGGCGTGGAAGTTCAGTACTCCATGAGCCAGCCTTCGGAGGTCCGGAGCCGGGGGTGTAAAAGCACAAGCCCGCTTGAAGCGAAAGCGGGTGGTTCGGTGAGGGGTTCGGCGGTGAGGGACCCCCCACAGTGAGGCATTGGGGAAGAGTCATTTGTGGCTTAAGAATGCCTGTATGCACGACAGCGCACAGCTGAAGGAGCAATCTGAATGAGAACTGAGGCTGAACTACTACCATTTCACATCATTGGCACCTTCTACACCATTCTTTTTACAGCTGAGCTCATCATGCGCATTTGGGCTTATGGCGTGAAGAGCTTCTTTTGCGATGAAGATTGGGCCTGGAGCCTGTTGGACTTTTTCATCGTGGCCACATCCCTTTTTGAGCTTGTATCGTTTATCTTGCAAGTGGTGTCAAACATATCTGGTTCGACCAACATGAGTGGCATCTCTAGCCTGAAGGCCTTCCGGATCATTCGTCGCTAAGCTGGACCAGGGACAGTCCCACGAGTGGGACTGGCTCAAAAAAGCAGAGAACCAATGGCTGGGCTGTTTTCTTCCAACCACGGTGAACCAACATGCTTGAGCCGCAAGCCAAGAAATGGTACCAAATCCAAACTGAATCCGTATATTGAGTTCTTGCATCACTCTTCAGCTTCTCGCAGTCTCGCCACATGTGGAGCTGAGGACTCACACGCTTGCTGAAGACGGTGAGGCTCATGCGTATCTTTCGATTTGTCCTGGCCTTGCGCATGCTGGTCACCTCTATATTCCACACGCTGAAATCCTTGTTTTGGGCACTGGTGCTGCTACCTGACAGGCAATGGACAAAAATAAGAGAAAACAACGGAGGCATAAGAGGCATAAGAGGCCATGAGCAAGTTGATGCTGTGTCATGACAACAGTCCACGAATTGTCTTTGCACAGCATAAGACTCTCCTTTTTGCTACAGCTTCCAGATCTCAGCGGGAATCAGTTCTCTCATCATCTCTCCTAACAAAAAGGTGATCATGTTGATTGGCGCCGTGCTTTTCCAGCCCACCTGAAGACTGAGTTGATTGCCCTTCCAGCACAGGTCAAAGAAGCAAAATAAGCCGTGAATGTTCTTTCTGGGCAATGACCATGCATTTGCACGACCCCTTTGATGGTGATTTTCCCTTTTAATTTTCCTGAGGCTTCTCCTAATTGTCTACGTTTTTGCGGTACTCTTCGTCCAAGCGGTGCAAGACTATTTGGAAGAAAGCAGGGACCTGCTCGATGACCTGGAACTTCGAGCATGCGAGCTCTACTTCCAATCCTTGGGGCATACCATGATCACACTGTTCATGAGCATCTCTGGCGGTGTGAGCTGGGAAAATGCGCTTCTTCCGCTCATGAAGATGTCACCTTTGTGGGTAGGATGTTTCATTTTCTTTGTGGCTATTTGGTCGGCACATGGCAATTATTTTAATTTTGTTTGATTGTTTGGGACTTATACTTAAAAACAAGGCACATGGCCATGGCACACGTTGGGTCATTCGTGTTGGGTCATTCGTTGTCTTGGACCAACTTTTCCAGCCAGGCTTTCACGTATTTCGCCGTTTTAAATGCCCGGGGCTGAGTTGCTAATCCACAGAAGACCGTAAGCATAGGGTAGAGCTATTTGTGCTGTCAGCTGATCTTTATAAAAGTGTCTTATAGTTTTGGAGTTGCATATTATGATTAAGTTCTTCAATCCCACCTCAATGAGTGGTTCAGAGGTAATTTTTTAGATCTCGCAGAAATGACCAGAGACAAAGATACTTCAAAGCATTAGGAGGACCTGGCGGATGCTATACTCCGAAGGGCCACCCCCTGTTCTTCAAGAACTTAGCAATGTGATGAGTTGCCACTCATTGAAGAGGAGATTCATCTCATGACCCGCTCGTCGTCTTTCTTGACCCACGCCCTTGCGGACTTGAAGCCTCAGGTTGATATTCCTCATATGGGTTTCAACAAGGCCCCCAGATGTTTCCCAGATGGCCTTTTCTTTTTGCGTTTTGCCCAGGTCACAAGTGAACGATCTTGGTCTCCTGGTCCTGTATCTCTGACGACAGGGTCTATGTTGGACGACCCGGACCCTTTGTTTGGTCTCGTGCTTGGTCCTTGCAGGAACGCTTTCATCGTTGGCATGATTGGAGTCTTGCTGTCTTCAATAAAACCGTGCCAACGCTGTTGCCGCTGTTGCCGTTGCTTCGTCCGCTGCGAAGCGTGCCCAGTTGCGTGGCTTGTTGCCGGCGCAAACCCAGATTGATGTTGAACTTCTTGACTCTTACAGTCATGTAACCTGTTGCGGGCTCACTGAACAGGAGCACTTGCGTGTTGAGAGCTGCAAACGTTGAGTGACTTTGTTAGCGTGCATTCAGCTTCCTTTTGAGCGCTACATGCAGGCTTGTCGTTCATTTGGCATGAGCAAAGCTGCTTACGGGTGGGTTGCACGTGCCCCTACTTCAACCTTGTTTACTAAGCTGTGGTGGGTGCATGTTTCGAGTTGTCGTATTCGTGTTGCTTCACTTTTTGGTGGCGGCATGCATTTTGATATCCTCTTTGGGACTCAGTTGGTTGGGTTGGTGTCTCGCGTTCAGCTGCGTCGTCGATTCAGGAGGCCCTCCTGCGCCTGTCGCGGTTGGACGCGCCCATTCGCCCATGAGTTTGGAGTGATCAAGCGACTTGTTTGGTGCTTGATTTGACTGGTGTTTGTGCTCGTCAGCATCTCGTTCGTCAGGGCAAAAGGCGTGGCTGGTGCTCTTTGCACCATGTCGCCTCTGATCGTCGGGATGCGGATATGATCAGATTTGGATTGTTTTGGCAATGGCTATACTTTGAACGCATTGATTGGACGCTTCTCTCTGGCTGGCTGTTTCTGATGCTGCTGGCTCTTCCGATCGTTGCGTCTGGACGCGTTGGGTACTTTTGATCATATCGCTTGGTCTTGTCCCCGGGGAGATGTTCCGTATATACACCCGCGAAATTTAACATCATCAAAAATAAAAACAAAATTTTTCTGTGTGGTATGTTAGCGTGAGGTGTCCTGTGTATGAAAAAGCTCCTGGGAGCGGGCCATGTTAGTGTGGGCAAACTGGGAAAGTTTCCCAGGTAAATGAAACAAGGTGTGAGACTAACATGGACCTGTTTGGAAGGGTTATTGGGCGACAGCACATGTTCTATGTTAGTGCACTGCCTGTAGCATTTTGGCCTATGTTGTGGTGGTCTATGTTAGTCTCCCCAACCACCTCTTCCCCTGAGACCGATGGTTTCCATACCCCCCAGGAAACCAAACGAGCAGGGAGGCCATGTTAGTGAGCACTATTGTTCA